ATATATATATAATTTTTTTTTCTGCATTTGAAATGAGATAGATGCATAATTGGATATTGAAACAAATCGGATATACTTGTATCTTTATAGATTTCATATATCGCGCTCGTGCTCCTGGCATTTCCTCGAGTCGGAATGTAAATAGGATATTTGTTTGAATATCATTTTGACGCAAAATAATATCTGCATGCAGAAATTCCATTTTTCTAATTATTATACATACATGAGTAATAACTTTATAATCGTACAATAATATAAAAAGCTAATTTATTTATCTTTTACAGTTTTCAAATTTATAATTGATCGCTGAGTTCAGAAAGGGAACGAATCATATTTTTTAAAATCTTTTAATACTAATGAAAAAACTGTTTGATTTTAGTTCCAGTGAAAAACCAACAAAATGTAACTACTTTTACTCTTATTTCTAATCTTATTATTGCCCGAACTACTTTTGGGAATTTAAATATGACATTTAATAATATTTTTTTTGTTAATATTTCTGAAATGCTTGTCTATTAAATAAAAAACTTAAATTTCAAATTTGATCTCATACTCTTTCTGCACTCAATTGGGTATGTATAGTATTTCTTTTTAAAAAGTATAGTATATATGTATATATGCTATTACAAGTACTTGATTTGTCTTAAATTATGTTAAACAATAATACAATAATTATCTCTTTTTTTTTCTAAACAATACAGTATAATATTAGTATGGGAAAAAGTTCGTGGCGTTTTTCCCATTAGATGGCATTAAAAAATGCCATGAACTTTTTCCCACATCTAATATATATTCAAAACGAGAACTAGAGTTAAAAATTTTTATTCGAAATATCTCTCAGAGAAGAGTAATCGGATGAATTACTTTTCATTCGTTTCGTTTTTAACCGCATTGATCATTCGATTAATTCATCAAAAAATTCTACATTTTGATGGGACGTAGCAGTCCAATCCAAATCTTGAATCTTGGATTTGTGCTCTTTCTGCACTTATTATTGATTTTTGACGTCTACTTTAGGTCCTTAGAAGCCTGATGTATCCACCCATTTCAAGATCAATGAGAAGAAAAACTTATTTTTGAACAAAATTGGACTCGTCCCTTTTCTGCACTGACCAATTCAATTATCGTCTTTATTATACTTTAGTGTAATCATATGATTGTTTTTTTTTTTTCCCAAAGGAATGATTTTAAATATGCTTTAATAATTTTTTGTAATTGTGTTATAAGATTTATCTGTTTTAAGAAAAGTACATAAATTGAATTATGCTTGCATTTTCTAATTCACAGTAATAAAAAAAGTTTTTAATATATTTTATTAATTTATATTATCGATGCGAAAATCTATTTTAATATTGTAAGAAAATTGTATATTGTAAGAAAACAAATATATATGTATGTGTTTGATTTCTCGTTTTTCTAATTAAGGAAATGCTGGAGTGACGACCGAACTTGATCGATGTCGATAGTACAGACTTTTTTTTTTTTAATTTCAAAGAAAGTCGATAATAATTACATCTTTATTTTTATTTCTTACACTATCGTTCTGTCTCACTCAAACGCATAATACATCTGTCTTTATCTAACATATTGTAACGCCATCTTTTGCAAGATCGAATACCTACTGTTAGTTACCATAGCTGTGTTCAACAGAGAGAGCAGCTGTGCAACTGTTATAAAATTCTTCAATATGATTGGTTTATACATTTAGATCCATAAGGAACCAATATGTTGAAAGCAAAGATCCAATCATATTAAAGAATTTTATAACAGTTGCAAAGCTTTCTCTGCTGAAGCCAATTACTGCTTTGTTTATCGTTCTCGAGTCTTCGCTCAGTATATGTACAGCAGTGCTCGAAATTTGCAGATCGATATAAAATTTTCTTTCTTTTTATGCTTTTAATCTTAGTTTTCAGTATTGTTTGCACATAATATGCCGGACTTGTTTTTACAATACAAACTATAAAACTTTTATACTAAGGAAATTTATCAGATGACAGTTCTGTTAGTTGAAAAAAATGTAAATTTTCAACTTTTTTTCGATTTTAGTATAAAGTCCTGCGGCAATTTTGTGTCTATTCTAATCCTGAAAAAGGATTTTTGATTTCGTTCAATAATTTTGAAGATTTTCAATGATCTACAATGTCTCGACAATTTGATCATGCCAGTTCTTAATCCGGATCTACAATTTTTAAGCCTTAAGCCATAAGAAATGAACGAATCACAGTTGATTATTCTCCTCGCGTTCGACTGTAATTGATCAATTTCTTACGGCTTAAGGCTTAAATCATCTATTGTAGATCCAGACTTGAGGAAACTCTAAAAATCATCTGTTTTTATCGATCGAATGCAATTATTTTTAACACATTTTTTTAATTGCGTTAGATTTAAAAGAATCTCTTTCCCCCTTCCTCCGTAATTAAAGTATAGATACAATAACGCATTTGAAACCGGCCAATTTTATGTCGAAAGCAAAGAAAGTTGAAAAAAATTAGTTGTCGCTTTCTGGCGTCATCGATCCATAACATTAAGTCTTCTGATTTTTTGCATCAGTTTCATCTTTCTTCCTTTTCTCTCCAGGAGGAAAAAAAGAGGAAGAAAGATGCATTGATGCAAAAGTTTAATAAAAAAGAATAGGCCTATTTACTAAAGACTCTAATAAAAGTCTAAGAACACGAAACTGCCACTTTTAATCGGCTCGCCGTCTTTTAACAACTCTCTCCTGAAAGAAATGAATGATAAAACAGAAAGAGAAAGAAATAGTGAATGTATGTTTTCTTCTCTCGCGTGATTTTGCTAAAACAAGATGTCCTACATATAATACAAAACGCAGCTCATGTCCAGACTTTTATTAGAGAATTTTTCTAATTTAGAAATTAGGAATTATTGATTAAACAATTTTTTTTAATCTAGATCTAGAAGTTCTAGTATAAAAGAATAGTGTAAACTTGAAAATTTCATATGTATATATACATGCGATAAGATATAACTATGATACAGTCATAGTTATTGTTTTTCGCAGCTGCTAGAAAATTTGGTTGTATTTTTAGTCTTGCAGTTGGCTATACTGAAATTTAATCGACCGATTAGTTTAATCGGAGTTGGTGAAATCGGGCGGGCCATATGAAGAGTCAAATATTGCTACCATATTCGTTTCGCGGTTCCAGGTTCTTACTAATTAGGAGTATGTATATATACATATATGTATACAATACGTATGTATTGTTTAATCATATATGTATAAGTCGATAAAACAGCGATCCTGTCGAAGTTCCATCTTCATTTATTATTATAATTATTTAAGAACCAAATTGCAAAATCTGGCTCTATATAATAAAGTTTTGTAAAAAAAGAGAAATAAAAAAGACAATGAGAATTTCTTTTGCGACAAAATATAGTATATATGTAAGCATTTACACTGCGAATGAGATTCACATCAGTTGGCTCGTCACTCCAGTGACTTTTAATTTAATATTATGTCAAGACAGTAGTAACCTATGATATGCATTTTCTATTAATAATGTAAATTAAGGTCAGTTGTTTCTGTTTCGAAGAATTCTGAACTATAATAGTGTAATAAAATAGATTGAAACAAACTATATCTGTTTCACTCTAATTTATTGCACCAGCGTACCAGTTTAGAACTTGGAGCAGAAAAAGAATATATTATTACACACATATACACAATTTTATATTAAACATTATTATTCTTGTTGTTATATAGAAGCACTTGGTACAGACAGTGGATTTAATGAACTGAGTGATGAATCTAAATCAGCTTCCATATCTCCCGCAGCCTCGAGTTTAATATCACCACCATTAAGAGTTGATTCCATCAGTAATGATACTGGTTGTCCGTAAGTTTTATCTACAAGCTGTGCATATGTCTAAAGTAAAAAATATTGCAAACTATTTTCTTTCGAAGTAAATTTTTTTGTTTCAAAAATTTTATTCTATATATTCTGACATTAAATGTAAAATATTTCTTAAAATGAACACTTTTTGATCTTATCTTAAAACATTTATCCTAAATGATTAGAATTGATTTATTTAAGGGAAAAAAAAATTTGTTTAAGAAAATAAAAATTTGATTTTTGTCTTTGTTATAAAATGAAAAAATCATCAACAACTTATAAGATATTAAAAAGTTTAGTTACTATTCCTGTATGTACAGAAATAGTTTGTAACATACCATTTATCACTATATTAATACTCTATGTTTTGTTTAATAATTATTTCAAATTTCGTATCACTTAATACCATTTCAGCATTGATGCAGATGAGAAAGATGAAGTATCCTCTACTGTGTCAAATCTATCAGATTTATCAGGTTTGTCTGATCTTTCTGGAGAAGCAGAAGTCAATCATCAGTGGAGAAATGCTTCTTCATGGATTCAGAAACAGATGTTGACGGGTGCCAATCCTAGAGATCTCCTACACAATCTGCTCATGGATTCCATACAAGTCCCTGAACAAGTTGACGATCTCACTTTATGGAAGGTATAGATATAAAACATCTTTTAGATCTACAGTATTTTTAAGGTTTTAGCAAAAAAATTATAAAAATATAAATAACGTTTGATTATACTAATTTTAGATTATAATCAATATGATGTCCGAACCTCCAAGACGGCAAAAGCTTAAACATATAAATACTTTATCTGATGTCGTACGATTAATACGCAGTAGCAAGAAAATTATAGTATTGACTGGCGCGGGCGTAAGTGTCAGCTGCGGTATTCCTGATTTTAGAAGTAGAGATGGTATTTATTCAAGATTAGCGCAGGATTTTCCAGACTTACCAGATCCACAGGTATATTTCGAAATCGTTCG